TCGCCGAGCAGAACTGCAGTGGGCGGGAAGACGGGACGCCCCGTGACCAAGGGTCCTCCCAGGGATCCTCCGCTCAGAAGAAAGTTTGGAGGGGTGCAGCCGGGCCTTTGTGGCTCAGTGGGGGGCAGCCTTTCTCGGGACCAGGTGAAAACTCGAGTCAAATGTCCGCTCTGGTTCGGGGACTGGAGCACGTGTACTTCGTTTTCGTGGCCATGACCCCTGTGGTGCGCTGGCCCTCACCCGTGTGTTCCGTGGGCCCCATTCGATGCTGTGTTCAAGACAAAGGCGACCGCAGGGCAGAAACCTTGGTGCGTGGTCAGGAGACGAGGATCGCAGACAGAAGCGGAACCGAGAGTCCGGGGGACGGGAGGAGGGGAATGCGCTGGGTGCACACCCGCACTCCTGCCATTGTGCGTGTGTGCTGAAATGCGGGTGGTCGGAGAAAACCAGAGACAAGAGCCAGAGCGGGAGTGGGTGAGTGAGGCATCGTGCAGCTGCAGGAGGAGGACCCCCGGCGCTGGGGCTGTGAGGGCGACTCCTCCTTCCCGCCGCCAGCCTTTATGAAATCAGCCACACGGGGACACTGCAGCGAGGCCCACCCCAGGGAGCGCCGAGGACGCGGTGGCCAAGACCCGCAGCGCAGCTCTGACCCACACGCCGCGCTCAGAGTGCGCCAGGCTGCGGCCACCGGCTGCCCAGACTGTCCTTGCTTCCGGCGCGGCATGACTCTGGGACATGCGGCCTCTGCAGACTGGCTTCAGGGCTGGGCGCTCCCATGGCTTTGGGGCTCGCTAGAGTGCCTTACAGAGCCCAGGGCAACGCTGTGCCTCAGATTACAGCTTTATTGTAGCGGGCATGGCCTGGAGGAACAGCCAAGGGCAGACACGCAGAGCTCACACCGGGGAGCCCCAGACGCAGTGTTCCGTCCTGTCACCCCACCCGACCCCAGCGCAGTGACCTCCCCACCCAGGCAGCTCTGCCCGACGCTGGCATCCAGTTTTCCTTCCCTGAAGACGACTGGCCTGGCCCATGGGCCGCATGACTGAGTTCAGCCCTTGGGCCCCCTTCCGGTGGAGGTGGGGCTTGGCTCAAAGACCTGATCATTTAAGTACCACTGGTCTTTTTGGGGACGAGACCCCATTCTGGGTGCTCTTTTAGCATAAACCCACATGTGATCCAAGTGGCTGCTGAATAACAAAGACTTCTATTATCCAAGAACTTCTGATCAGGAGTGATGGTACATGCCTGAGATCCCAGTACTTAGGAGGCTGAAGCAGGAGGATTGCTGCCAGTTCAAGGCCAGCCTGGGCTACACAATAAGATCCTGTCTCAAAAAACCAAAAAAAAAAAAAAAAAAAAAGAAAAGAAAGAAAGAAAGAAAGAAAGAAAAGATACTTTCAAGGAAGTTCCCTTCCACTAGGTACCAGGGACAAAGGGCAGTTAAATTATTGTATTGTACACAGGGTTGTAAAAAGATAATATTATACCAGAGAACAGAGATGAAAAAGGTTGACATGTCTCCAGATACCACTTATCACAGGAGCTTTAAGGGGTTCACACTTCAGTACGCAGCAGACAAATTGCTATCGGTTGGGTCTGCAGTGTTCCCCAAAAGCCCACGTGCTAAGGGCTTGGTTGGTGACTTGTGGTGCCACCTTTTTGGGGGTCATGAACACGAGGGGTCACTGGGGGTGCACCACGAAGCCAACATGGGGGCCCCAGCACCTTCCTCTCTCACCTGGCTTCCCTGCAGGGTGGGTAGAGGCCTCTTCTGCTACCTGCCCCTGTGGTGATGTCTTGCGTCAGTTCTGTGGAACACTAACAAGATAAACATTAATACACAGTCAGAGGGCGTGGGCTCTCAAAGTCAGCACAGGAAATAAAGACATCAAGACCGTGGATGGAAATGCAAGGTGGAAGCCGGGTGTGGTGGTACATGCCTGTAATCCAGCACTCGGGAGGCTGAGGCAGGAGGATTGTTCCCCCGCCATCCCCGGTACCGGGAATCGAACTCACGACCTTGCGCTTGCCAGGCAGGCGCTGTGCCTCTGAGCTAAATCCCCAGCCCCAACAGGAGGATTGTTATGAGTTTGCGACTAGCCTGGGCTACAAAGTGAGCTCATGGCCAGCCTGAACTGCATAGTGACACCCTGTCTCAAAAAGACAAAAAAGAAAAAAGAAAAAAGAAATGCAAGGTGGAGGTCCAGTGGCCATGCCTGCAGCCTCCTGAGGATAAGTGGCAGCTTGAGGTTAGACTGTGATTAGCACCACCTGGTCCAGGAAGTCCAGACAGGCATCAGATGCCCAGGTGGGTGAACAGAGCATCCCCACCTGTCCCTTCCCGAAAACACCTCTGTTCTTTCCAGGGACCCTGCTACATGACTCATTTCCCTACTGGGTCAATATCAGCTAAGCAGCTGTCCTTGTAATCTTGTAGATTGATTGTAGTCTGACCCATGTTGTACCCATGTTGTAACTTTGCTGTATAAATTGCCCTGACAAAGGGCCTTGGTGGTCACCCACTTGGAACCCCTCCTTGAAATCCAGGAGCTATTCTTCTCCTGTTATTTCTAATAAAACTCTCCTAACTTCTTGTTTAGTTCCTGACCTCATTCCTGGATGTTGTGAGACCACAAACTCAGCATATTTGACATCTAACAGGTCAGGAGTAACATTTCTCCTAAATCATCAGCACAGGCCTTTGTATGTGACTGTTTAGGAAATGGAGTAGTGATAGTCACTATAAGTGGGAAATTTGCCTCATTCTTGATGTACTAGGAATACTTCAGTGAATATTATATTGGTTGTTTATTTGAAATAAATATCTTTTATTTATTTATTTGTTTTGTTCTGGTACCAGGAATCGAACTCACAACCTTGCTCTTGCCAGGCAGGCGCTGCGCCGCTGAGCTAAATCCCCAGCCCTGAAATAAATATCCTTTAACAGAAGAAAATACCTTTTTATTCCCAGGTTCTCTTTTTTTTTTTTTTGGTTTTTCTCCGGTACCGGGAACCGAACTCATGACCTTGCACTTGCCAGGCAGGCGCTTTTGCCGCTGAGCTAAATCCCCAGCCCCTAGTCCCAGGTTCTAAGAATTATATTAAAAATGTATACTGATTGTCTAATTTTTATCAAATTTCCATGTTTTATTTCCTTGGCTTACATTCATGATGAATTTGAAAATATTAAGCTGTCTTTGTACTCTTGGCTGGTCATGGGGTATTACTCTTTTAATATTTTGTCCTAAATTTTTACCTTCCAGATGGAGGCTCTGGCAGTGTTGAGGGTTCTTTCATAAAACGCCTAAATCCACAAGGCCCCCAGAAAACCACCTACAACGAACTTCTCGGAAGAATGACACGTTCCCTTCGCTCTCTGTCCAATATCAGAGAAAACATCCCAGTTCCAGTAGGTCTGGCTTCTAATACCCACGAGTCAGTTCTGGTGAAATCATAATATAATAAATAATCATTGCATAGTTGCTGCTTACTCTGAACCAAGTTGGACTGAGTAAGTTATTACTTTAGTTAAGCCTTAAAATTACCCTTAATTTCTCACCTAAAACGTACCTGTTTGAAAATGATGAATAACCAAGTGTCTTAAACAATATCCCTATAATGAAGACAGGGGGGAATTTCTTACTTGTGTTTGGCAGAATTGCTTATGATAGTAATTTTCAAACATGCACAAAAGCCGTGAGATGAATGTCATGAACATGACTCTACTCTCCCAAAGCTTTAGGGACAGCCAGGGATGGGCTGTACTCACTCCGTCTACCCCTCCCACTTTTTTCTGGATATCCTTTCAAACAAATTCCAGATGTGCCGTGTCACCCATAAATTCTTCAGCACTATATCCGATTCTTACTGGGTCCCGGGGAGCTGAGAGCACAGTGCCAAGGCACAATTCATTATGAGGGATTCTATGAAGGTCTGAAACAGCCCAGTCAAAATCCACGGTGCTACAAGTGTCTGAAACTGTATACTCCCCAGAGTGGGAGCGAAGGACTGTGTATCTTCAGGATTCCTCTCTGCTTTATTTTCCTTTACTGAGTTTTAAGAATTGGTGGGGGGAAGTAAAAGAGGGTTGATGTTCAAGGTTGTATATTTTGGCAAGCAATTGCGAGTGCAGATAATTCTTGTTTTGGATTAAGAAAGGTCTATTAGTCAGAAAGTAATCTTGGCACCTGTGCAGAAAAATTATACAGCTTGACAAGATTCGCGGCACCCAATTTGTGCTCAGGCCAGCAGCGTGACTCTTGCAGGGTTCTCTGAGCTGGACGGCCTTCCACACCATCTGCAAAGCTGACAGCCGAAGTGAAATAAACCAGACCAAGAAAGACTGTACCCTGTATGGTTTCATTTATGTAAAACTCTAGAAAAGGCAAATGAATCTACAGAGACAGAAAGCAGATCCGTGGTTTCTGGCCTGGGCTAGGGAGGCGCAGGCACCATGCGCTGGCGTGTGGGGATGTGTACTGTCTTGAGCATGGTGTTGGTTTTTGCAGGACTGAGCTTGTCAGTATGTGCTGTTTACATCTGTGTGGTTCGCTGCGTGTCGGTTGCTCCTCAGTACACACTTTTCTTTGTTTTTAAGTGACTAGCTCCGGGGCAGAGTGGTGGAGAGACTCCAGCTGCTACCCCCAGGTGTGTGCCCGAGGTCCAGGGGGTGGATGGGTGCGGCTGCAACAAGAGGCAGCTCTGCCAGCCGCCAGCGGTGAGCTCACGGGTTCATGAGCACACGCACACTGCGTGTACAGTTCTAACCAGCTTGTGTGAAACCTTAGGGTCTTTTATTGGAAAAAGTAAAACAGAAATTCATAACAGAATAATAGGAGAATAACAACATTAATGCATTGTATACTGTCATCTTCGAAGAAGTCGCTCAGAGCAAGCTCCTTTTGTTACCACCGCTTTGCCTAGCCTCACCAAGGGAAAGTGGGAGGAGGAAGCAACTTTATTTGCATTTCTCTCTGTCCCTTTCAGTCCATTGTGTGAGGTTTGTTTTTTCTGTCCCTCACAATTTGGAGCAGGTTTGATGACATTTCAAAGGTAATCTGATCACTGTAATTCCACAAATCTATAATTACACGGCTCAATCTCATGTAATGGTAAAGATACCACATTTTATTTAAATGTGGGGTCTTTTCCCTTTCAGGTGCATGGTGATGGTCTCTTATTTCCTACTTTGTGCTATTGTGCCCCAACACCCACGCTCCTCTCCTAGGTAACAGGACTTTCAAATTTTTGTTCTTGTAGCCACCCTAATAAAGATTATCTTTCCCAGCATCCCTTGCAGCGAGGTATGGCTGTGTCTCTAACTTCTGACCAACAGGATCAGAAGCAGCAACAACCTTTTGTTTTCAAATGGCTGATGCAATACTCCCTTCCCTGGCTAGGAGAGGGAACCAGCTGAAATGGAGTTAGTGCTGTTTCAGCTTTTCAAATGTGAAACACAATGGCAGCCCTCGGGGAGTGGCAGAGCAGCAGGGCAGAAGGAAGAGGGGTCCTCAACAGCACCGTGGAGTGTCTGCAGTAAACCCCCGACTTATACACATTTGAGTTGTGAACTTTCACTGTGTACCGTATGAGACCCACTTTGTCAGCTTGTGAGTGAATCTGACTTCTGAACAATTCTCCCAGAACTGAGCTTGCTAGTTAGCTGGGGACTTCCTGTACTAACCACACAGGCTTGTTTTGCAGGTGTGCTTCCGTCCCTCCTCTCTCATGCTGATGCCTTGGACCTGGGACCTCTCCAGGGATGGCGTGTGTGAGGGAGAGGCTGGGTGCTTTGGTCTGATCATGAATGCCTTCCAAACTCCCATTGCTCAGAGGTGGGCTTTTGGAAAGTGACTGGATCACAGGGGCAAGCGCTCCTCGGGGGACTCATCCAGTAATGAGTTATGCAGGTAAGTGTGCTGTTGGAGGTGGGGCCTGGGTGGAGGTGGTCACTGGACTCTGATCTGAGAGAGTGCATCTTGCTCCCCTCCCCAGCTCCTCCCTTTGCTCTCTTTCCTGGCTGCCATGATGTGAGCGGCTCTCCTCTGCCCAGGCCCTTCCACCATGCCGCTTCTGCGTTACAGCTGGTGAGCCATGGACTGCAACTTCTGAAACCGTGAACCAAAGTAAAACTGTCCTTCCCTAAGCTGTGGGTGACAGGTGTTGTGTCTTGGTCATGAGGAAAGTGACTAAGACACCAGAAGGGGACTTCTCTGGCGAGAGCTGCTGTGGGATGGCGTCGGCCCTCCCCATGTGGGCAGGCATAGCTGATTCCCTCTTATTGGCACTTTCATCAATGCTCTTGAGATAACACTCTCCCTTTGCTGGGATCGCTCATCTCCTGACTCCTTGACGCAGGTGGAGCCGTTCCTTAGCCTAGTCAGCCAAATGTCCTCCTGTAGCTTCTAGGATCCCTCTTTTGGATCACTGAAGCTATTCATGTGACCCTTTGGGGCAGAATCTAACATAATCCTGTGCCTGCTGTCTGTACACCGCCCCACATCTTGTCTGTAAATCAACTGATTTTTTTTTTTTTTTATACCGGGAATTGAACTCAGGATCTTGCACTTGCCAGGCAGATGCTTATGCTGCTGGCACTTGTCCTTAAATCAAACCCCCTCAGGCCCCAATCTTGGAAGGCTAGCAGGCCCCCAGCCCCTCATTCTCCTTTGTTCTATCACCAGGGCAGAGAGCAGCCTCCTGGTGCTTTTTCTTTCCAGACATGAGCCAGCCACCAGCTCACCCTGCCCTCAAAAGCAGAGAGTACACACAGACTCTGAGAGGGTCCGCTGAAGGCCGCCTCTCTGGGCGTGACAGGAGGGTGACACCCACCTTAGATTTCCTCCGGCAGCCGGTGCCTTCCCCCTTCCTGCTCCAGTCTGTGGTCTCATTTTTTTTGTATAGGGAATTCAAATCAGGTTCTCATGCATGCTAAGCATGCACCTTGCTCCTGAGCTGCACCCAGTCCCCGTGGTCTCATCTTTATGGGGAGATTCTCAGGAGTGGGAATGCCCAGGGACTCTGGCTTCTGCCTTCAGTACCCGACTCTTTTATTTAGGAAAAGGTTCAAACATTTATATTTATTTATTTACATATTTACTTAATTTTTGTGGTACTGGGGATTCAACACAGGGCCTCACACAAAAGTGTATCCCCCCCCCAAAAAAAGTGCATCCCTAGCCTTTTAAGGTTTTAAAATTTTTAAAAAATTTTTATTCATTTATTTATTGATAAGGTCTCACCAAGTTGCCCAGGTTGGCCTTGAAGTTGTGATCCTCTTATCTCAGTCTCCCAAGTAGCTAGAGTTACAAATGTGCAACACGGCATCTGGCTAAGGTTTAGATTTTTGAGCAGCTTTGTCTTGTGTGAGAGCTACTGTTTGCTTTCCAGATACCAAGGCCAGCCCCTGACCACAGGGGAATCAACACCCCTGAGTCACTAGGCTGTGTTTTCTCGCTGTCAGGATTCTGCTCCAACCCAGGACCACATGCAGCTGGGCATGGGTTTGAGGAGCTGGAACCCGGGTCTGCCCTGGGCAAGAAAGTATTACAGGGTGGGGAGGATTTCTCTCTCTCTCTCTCTCACATTTCTCGCAAGGGGCTCCCAGACCCGCCGGTGCAGAGTCTTGCAGAACAGAACCAGAACACCCACGTGGACACTCCGCCTTGTCTTTGCCTGGGATGGGGGTCAGAGGTGTTGACAAGCAATGTACACTTACTCTTTTTATTCAACAAACATTTCCGGAATTCTTTTTCCACACTAGCCGCATGGTACACAAGATAAGCACAGTCTCTGTGTCCCTGGAGTTGAGAGTCTGGTGCAAGACCAAAACTGCACTCACAAACAAAGCAAGCACTTAGGGTTTAACGTCCAAGACTTTTTTACTGGGTCAAGTTCATCATGCCTGGCTGCTGCTTCTGCTTGGGTGAGTTTTGTCTAAAGCCTGTCAATTCTCAAGCAAACAGACCCTGACAGCCTGCCTTCCCCTGGGCCTCCAGCCCCCACCCACCCTGCTGTGGTCTGTGGAGGACATTAACCCTTACTGTGCTGGAAGTGTCTGATTTGCCTCCACACCCAGAGAAAATGGGACACAAACACTACTCCCAAGACAGGCCTCCCTTCCCATCCAACACACTGTTTCCAAACTTCTTGCTTCTGGCGGCAGGACAATGTAGAGGAGAGACCGTCCAGGCAATACAGTGACCCCCAAAATATAAGAGGGATGAGGACACAGGCGGGAGAAAGCAGGTACCCTGATGCAGGAGCTTGAGGAGTGAGGAACTCTGTGAAAAGATGAATGGAAGAGGGTGGGTGAGGAGGGAAGGACAGGGGAGAAGCTGGGGAAGGAGTGAGAGGAGCCGGAATAAGGAGCTAAGGGGTAAGGAGCTGAGGTGTGAGGTGTTGAGGAGTGAGGAGCTGAGGTGAGAGGTGCTGAGGTGTGAGGAGCTGAGGTTTGAGGGGCTGAGGTGAGAGGTGTTAAAGTGTGAGGAGCTGATGTGGGAGGAGCTGAGGTGTTAGGAGTTGGGATTTGAGGAACTGAGGTATGAGGAGCTGAGGTTTGAGGAGCTGAGGTGTGAAGACCTGGGGTATGAGGAGCTGAGGTGTGAGAAGCTGAGGTTTGAGGGGCTGAGGTGTGAGGAGCTAGGGTGTGAGGAACTAAGGTGTGAGGAGGTGAGGTGTGAGGGGCTGAGGTATGAGAGGTTGAGGTGTGAGGATCCGGGCTGCGAGGAGCTGAGGTGTGAGGACTGGGGTTGTGAAGAGCCAAGGTGTGAGGACCTGGGTTGTGAGTTGTGCAGGTGGGAGGAGCTGAGGTGTGAGGAGCTGGGATGTGAGCAGCTGAGGTGTGATGAACTGAGGTGGTAGGAAGTGGCATGTGAGGAGCTGAGGTGTGAGGGACTGGGGTGTGAGGGGCTGAGATGTGAGGACCTGAGGTGTGCGGAGCTGAGGGGGGACATGCTGAGCTGTAAGAAGCACAGGTTTCAGGGCTGAAGTGTGAGGAGTGAGGTGTGAGGACCTGAGGTGAAGAGCAGGGCTGTGAGGTGCTGAGGTGTGAGCAGCTGAGGTGTTAGGAGCTGGGATGTGAGGAGCTGGGATATAAGGAGCTGAGGTGTGAGGAGCTGAGGTGTGACGTGCTGAGATTTGAGGAGTTGAAGTGTAAAGAGCTGAGGTGTGCTGAGGTGTGAGCTACTGGGGTGTGAGGTGCTAGTGTCTGAGGAGCTGGGGTGTGAAGTGGTAAAGTGTGAGGAGTTGAGGTGTTTGGAGGTGGGACATGAGCTGAGGTGGGAGGAGCTGAAGTGTGAAGAGCTGAGGTGTAAGCTGCTGGGGTATGAGGTGCTGAATTGTTAGGAGCTGGAATGTGAGGAGTTGAGGTGCTAGGAGCTGTGTTAGGAGTTGAGGTGTGAAGGGCTGAGATGAAGAGCTAAGGTGTGAGGTGCTGGGGTGTGAGGAGCTAAGGTCTGAGGAGCTGAGATGTGAGGCACTGAAGTGTGAAATGGTGAGGTGTGAGGAGCCGAAGTGTGAGGTGGTGAGGTGTGAGGAGCTGAGGTGTGAGCAGCTGAGGTGAGGAGCTGAGGTTTGAGGAGCTGGGGTATGAGGAGCTGGGATGTAAGGAGCTTGGGTGTGAGGAGCTGGGATGTGACATGTTGAGGTGTGAGAACCTGAGGTATGAGGCACTGAGCTCTGAGGACCTGGGTTGTGAGGTGCTGACTTGTGAGGAGCTGAGGTGTGAGGAATAGAGGTGTGCGGAGTTGGGATATGAGGAGCTGATGTGTCAGCTGCTGAGGTGTGAAGAGCTGGAGTGTGAGCAGCTGGGCTGGAAGGTGCTGTGGTGTGAGGAGCTGAGGTTTGACTTGCTGAGGTGTGAGGAGCTGAGGCGAGGAGCAGATGTGTTAGGTGCTGGGGTGTGAGGAGCTGGGGTGTGAAGAGCTGGGCTGTGAGGAGCTGAGGCATGAGGAGCTGAGGTGTTAGGAGCTAGGATATGAGGATTTTAGGTGTGAGGTGCTGAGGTGTGAAGAGCTGAGATTTGAGGTGTTGAGGTATGAGGAGCCAAGGTGTGATGAGCCAAGGTGTGAGGAACTGGGTGTGAGGACCTGACTTTCGAGGAGCTGAGGTGTGAGGAGCTGAGATGTGAGGCACTGAAGTGTGAAATGTTGAGTTGCGAGGAGCTGAGCTGTGAGGAGCTGATGTGTGAGGAACTGAAGTGTGACATGCTGAGGTTTCAGGATCTGAGGTGTGAGCAGCTGGAATCTGAGAAGCTGTGGTGTGAGGAGCTGAGGTGTGAGGCACTAGGGTGTGAGGACCTGGGTGTGAGGACGTGGGTGTGAGGTGTTGAGGTGTGATGAGTTGGATTGTGAGGAGCTGAGAAGTGAGGAGCTGAGGTGTGAGGCACTGGAGTGGATGTGCTGGAGTGTGAGGTGCTGAGCAGTTCAACAAGGGCCTTGCTGCTGGTGTTGTGAGCACCCTGCTGGACTCCAATGACCAGGGCTGTGGGGCCATGGTGGTGGTGACCGGCTCATTCCATGGCCCCTGGTTGGACCTGGACCCTGAAAATCCTGAATGCCAACCTTCTTTGGAGTCCCCATGGTGTGAAGTCTCCCTGCTCCCAGGCACACATACAGCCAGTTCATGAGCCTGCCCGTGGGTGTGGATCACAAACAGCATCCGCGAACAGTCTTGCCGGCTCTCACTCACCCCTTACCCCACCCTCATCCCAAAGTTCCAGACACATGCAGGAGCCAGAGATGAAGACCACTGCCTTGAGGCCCCCAGGCTCCCTCTGCTCTGATGGCCTCCAGCCTTACCCCAGCCCTGAACTGGAGCTTGCTGGTCAGGAGTTGTTACTGAAATTATGATTCTATTCCTTACCGCTAAAATTCAGATCCCTGTTTGATTTGCTTCCCTTCTGATTGATTTAGAACTTAGGACCTTCACTCCCCACCCCTGTTCTGTGTCTGCCAGTCTGAAGACTCACAGCATGAAAACTTTAAGATGTGGCGTATGGGACTGTGTGAGAGATTCCTTCAGAAGCTGAATCACTTCATGCAGTTTGCAAGTGCTGTATTCTGAAGCTGATGTTATAAAGTCAATTTAATAAGTTAAATGGCTGACCCCATTAGATGGCTACAGACTAACGTCCTTCCCACCTTCCTCCTCTGGTTCTCAGTCCGCGGGTCACCCTGGCTCTGATGTGGTTCCTGCCTGGAGAATATGTCCAGAGGTGGCTAGCAGACTGCACCTGGCCCTGGTGTGGCCGAGGGCGAGTGGACAGGTGGCTTCCCGAGTGGAGAGGTCTGAGCATTCCAGAGGCATGATGGGAAACTGGCTCTCTGAAGATAAGCCTGCAGTGCAGTGGTTTCTTTGATGGGGAGTGGCTCAGAGGGCACCCTGGGCCACCTCCCGAGCATATCTCTGAGGCAGGGACAGGTCCTCAAGAAGTCCTTGCCAGGGGTTTCCCTGGGCTCCAGTTGAGAGGTGCAAGAGATGTACTTTGGTTTCCCACCCTGGTGAATATTGTACAGACAAAAAATGGGTTAATAGGAGCCTGTGGGGTCTGAATGGGACACGGTGATCCGACGGGGATTATGGAGCAGACTCTCCCACTGTGTGATTCTCTGACTGCCGTGGCCTTACCCCTCCTACCTTGGCCCCGGAACCCTCCAGACTGCTCCACCATCCCGTCCCCAGTTAGGAGCCGAGTCTGCCTAGCCACGGGGTCAGCTCCGCGCCCGGCTGAGGGCCCGGGCTCCTGCTGCAGGGTCCAGGAGCAGCCGTTCCTGCTGCTCCAGTGATCTGCGGCCGCCCGCCCGTTCGGGGCTCCTACTGTGCAAGCTTTGGAATCAGAGACGCAGGAGAACCTTTCCGCCACCTGTGCCTAATCTCATCTCATTCCGCCCTCCATCTGACTGTGCCCAGGCTCAGGGTTTTTTAAAAGGCTTCCTGGAACCCACTGGATAAGATCCAAGGCCCTTGACACGTCAGACGGTTCCCCTGCCAAAGGTGTCCGATTCTCCGGATGCTTTTCCCAGAAAATTCCGCTAAACCCACAGAGCAGTCAACCCCACTTCCTTGCTGCAAGGGTTTCACACATTTTATTTCAGGGCTGCTCTTCCGCCTATGCAGGGCCAGCACAGAGCTGTGTGGTCAGGATTGTCCACGCGGGGGCGCTGCGGGTGCCGGGAGGGCACTGGAGGCGCTGCCTAGGGGCGCTGTGGATTACACTCCACATTCAGAGTGGGGAACCCAAAGATGGCAAGAAGTTGGGTCCTCCACGACATCATCAAGAATTAACCCAGAACCTTCCAGGGCTTTTGTTTAAGCAGCTGACACTTGCAGCCCAAGGACCTTATTTTTTTCTTTCTACCTAAATTTCCTTTTAAAATTTATGAGTATTTATTAGGGAAAGAGCCTAAGCAGGAGTCCAGGCCATCTCACTGGATCTTTTTTTTTGTTTTTGTTTTTCTCCGGTAACGGGAATCGAACTCACAACCTTGCGCTTGCCAGGCAGGCGCTGTGCCACTGAGCTAAATCCCCAGCCCCTCATCTCATTGGATCTTGATTCTGTCCTGCAAGCCGGGCCCCCGCCTTGACGTGCCTGCCCTGTGACCCCTCACTTAGGTGTCACTGCTTCCCTCCCCCACTCTCAATAGCCCAGGAGCCCAGATTCCAACTTTCTCACCTTGGTCTTGCAGGTGGGAGATCTTTGACAAGTCTTGTGAGCGTGTTTGGATCATTCATAGCTGGTCCTGACCTGCAGGCGAACGCCTCATTCATCTTGTGTTTACTTACTTACTTATTTATTTATTTTTTTCGTACCGGGAATCAAACTCGGGACCTTGTGCTTCCAGGCAGGCGCTTGTGCCGCTGAACTATGTCCCCGGCCCTGCGTTTACTTATTTATGTCAGGTTTTCTTGGAGACTCCTGAAGTTTTGGTTTAGTCCCACTGTGAAGAAAACAATTTTCATGGACTTAAGCTATTTCTATAATTGCATGTTTCCCTGAAAATAAGACCTAAGTGCAAAATAAGCCCTAGCTGATCGTTACCATGGTGATGGCCTGCATCCTGCTGATTACACCTCACTGTTCTCTTGCTCGGGGGCTGCTGGCTAAGGCAGGTAAGGCCTGGATAGGCTGACTGCGGCTGGCACATTTGAGCTCTGTTTTCCAGGCTGATGATTTTCCGGTAGGCCGTGCTTTCTGAGAAACACCGTCCAAGGGTGTGCAAACCGTGCCTGCAGGCACAGCTAACCAGGCATTCCTTGTACTTCCTATTTAAGGTCTTATAAAACCAAAACAAAGTAGGGATGAATACAAACAAAAGTGGGAAGATAATTTAAAAAATAACATTCATTGAAAACCCCGAATAGGGCTGTTTTTCTGAAAGGAAGTTGTGTTGGCAGCAGGCACAGCGCTGGGACCGGTTCTCTGGAACTTGTGCTTCACCGCGTGCCCGGTGTGACTCAGCTCTTCCCTTCTCATACCTGCTCCCAGCTCGAGGGAGATGTCAGCGCTCGCCTGCTGGCCTCCCTGGTGCAGACGCAGCCGGGACAATGGAAACTCTACGTGGGTAAACACAGCACGAGTCAGACATGCACGCGCAGGCCCAGGACGAGTTACCTGTGCTCAAACACTGTTTTCAAACCTTACAAGGACATGAAAACAGGGAATTAATCATTTTCACAGGCAGATTTATGGTTCTGCTGGAGTTCAGGGACCCGTGTTTGAGAAATACTGTGGATTAGCCCTGATTTAATGTCCAACGTGACTTTAAGTAAAACACTTGCCTTTTATTTGTTTGTTCCATTTTGGTTTCTTGAGACAGGGTCTCGCTGTGTAGTTCAGGCTGGCCTTGAGCTCACTATGTAGCCCAGGGTGGCCTTGAAATTGTGGTAATCCTCCTGCCTTAGCCTCCTGACTGCTGGAATTACAGGCATGCATGACCATGCCCGGCTTTCATTTGCCAATTTTGGATCTTGGTGCATTCTCTGTACACAAACCAGAACAATTTGGGTACCAGTACTCTTGGGAGAGGAAGGAAGTTACAAGAGTTAAAGGCCAGATCCCCAGATCTCCAAGGACTCTGAAGGAGTGGAGATTACAGAGTCCTCCAGAACTTTTTTTTTTTTTTTTTTTTTTTTTTTTTTTTTCTCCGGTACCGGGAACCGAACTCACGACCTTGCGCTTGCCAGGCAGGCGCTTTTTGCCGCTGAGCTAAATCCCCAGCCCCCCTCCAGAACTTTGTCAGGTGAGTCTCGCTGGGCTCTGGACTCACAAGGACCAAGGTTTGGAGCTGGGGCTGTGGGAGCCAGGTGCTCCTGCACTCCGGAGGAGTCCGAGGGGCCTCTGATCAGGAAAAGATTTGCAGAAAGCGAGGCAAGCTGAGCCCAGGGCGGTGCCGGCAGGGCTGTGAGGCCAGCTGGGGCTGCAAGCCGGTCCACAGGGGAGCAAGTGGTACTGTGTGTGCGCCCCAGCTTCTCCAGTCCCAGCCCGCCCTGGAGCGGGCGCCCTCTGGCGGGTAGCAGCAGTCTGTGGAGCTGAGATGGAGCCTGGCCCGATGGGCTCAGGTGACCTGACGGCCACAGACAACCACAGGCTGTGAGGGACAGAGGCTCAGTGGAGAGCCTGGCTCTGCCCCCACACGGTAGCATCTCTGCTACTCAGTTCAGCGTTCTGCACCGATTCACCCCGCGGACACCTGCGGACCTCCAGCCTTTCTCAGCTGGGTGTAGGGGCACCCTGCGGTCGCCAGCCAGGCCATGCAGTGAGTTCGAGGCCAGCGGGGCCCACAGTGGGAGACCCTGTCTCAAAAGCAGAACAAAAACAAAAACATAGACCGAACCCACGGAGTGGCCTTCCACGGTCCCAGAAGCTGGCCGGGGTCACCTGTGCAGCGGGCGCCTCCCAGTGGCCTCCCTGTTCGTTGCAGGACCTGTGAAGCCCACCAAGGGCCAGGCTCCCGGCCCCAGGGCTCTCCCGGTCACCAAGCGCGGAGCGGAGCAGGAGCCTGAGCGAAGTCCTGGGCGGGAAGCGGCAGCTCGCCACGGACCGAGGCAAGTTCCAACCTCTCCAGGCCTGGCTTTGTTCTGAGGAAGCGCTGGCCGCACCCACCTCAGGGGGCAGGGAGACCCCTTCCGTGGGGCTGGGGACCCACCAGGGGACACAGGCAGGATGCATCTGGCCTGATGCCCCCTTCCCCACAGCCACTACCCCGAACCGCGCACCCCACCGGCTGCTGCCAGAAAGTACTGTGGGAAGGAACACAAATCGGGCCTGTCCTGTCGGGCCAGGCCCCGCGCCTTTCCTCCTCACTCTGGGAACAGGCCAGGCAGCTTACGCGGGGGCAGAGGGCGCCCCTGTCGCCCCGCTCCCCTGTGGACCGGCTTGCAGCCCCAGCTGGCCTCACAGCCCCGCCGGCACCGCCCTGGGCTCAGCTTGCCTCGCTTTCTGCAAATCTTATCCTGATCTGAGGCCCCTCGGACTCCTCCGGAGTGCAGGAGCACCTGGCTCCCGCAGCCGCAGTCTGTCTACGCCGGGCCGGGCCTGTGAATGCACACGCCTCGCGCTCTGGGGTCCGAGCCGTGCCCCGCGATAATAACGGCTGATGAGCGAAAGAGGGAGAGTCAGAGAGCCAAGTGACCTCCAAAGGCCACTGCGGGCTGCGGTCAGGGAAGCGGGGTGGCTGCTTCAGCAGCTAGGCCTGAACGCGACAGATGCCGAGACCCCCTGGTGAGTGGGGGAGCCGGTGCAGGAGACGCAGGCCAGGGAGGCGCGAGGGGGCCAGCTGGTCAGTTTCTCCCTCCCATTTGGTGCTGGGCTTCCCCTCCCGTGCTGTGAGGGACACCAGGACTCCGGGCCCGCCCAGCGCTCCCCGCCCGGTCAGCCACCTCCGTGGGGCTCTGGGGTGAACGGGGTGCACCGTTTGACAGTGCGGTTTAGCAGGTGAGGGGCGCTCCCGGAGACGGGCAGCTTTGTCCCCGGTACTTTCTGTGGCCGAGGTGCCACCAGAGAAGCTCTCGCCTGGGAAAGTGGAGGTGGCCGGCAAAAGCTTCTGCTTCTTCCCAGGATGCCAAGCAAAGTCCCGGGAGAGGAAGGGCACGGCTGGGGACCTGCAAGGAGGCCTCCAAAGGACACCGCGGTCACTTCTGATCTCTCTCCTCCCTCTCTGGTCCCCCCAGCCCCCTCTCCGCTGCCCCCATGCCGTGTCTGTGAGGCCAAATGCCGCCTGCCCGAGGGACAGCTCTTCAGCGCGGCAGCCGCGGGCCCGCCTTTGTCTGGGGTCCCTTTGTCCGGGGGCTCCCTCCGGTTCCCTCTCATGGCTCTCAGCTCCTCTCCCTCTCTCGGCCGGGCTGTCCCCTCCCTCTCTGCGGGGGCCGAGAGGCTCAGCAAGGGGAGCGGGCTGGGTTGCCATGGTCACATCGAAGCCGGCCGCAGCTGGCCCGGGCAGCTGCTCCTGGGCCCCGGCCCCTGGACGCTCGGACAAAGCCAGGCAGCCTCGGCAGCTCCAGAGCCGGAACCCCAAGGCCTGAGACTGGGGTGACGGGGACCCAGGAAAAGCCGGAGCTGGAGGTGAGGGGGGAGGCTGAGAGCCAGGGTCCAGCGGCGGCTGGACGTGCGGCGGGAGGAGGGGACACAGGGCCCACATGCGGCCTCAGGCGGGGCCCACCGGGAGGACAGAGGCCGCCGAGCTCTGTGGCGGGATGAGGCTGGCTCCCCGGGCCGCAGGGCCCCCTGCAGTCCATTGTCCTTCCTCAGCCCCGGCCTGGCCTCTGCCCAGCCCCGCCTGCCTCAGTTCCAGCTCGGTGCCCCCCAGTCTGCTTCACCCGCTCCCCTCCCTCTCCCCCTTTCACTTCCCTTCTGTGCCCTCCAGGCTCCCCGCAGCCCGACCCCTCTCCCTGTCCAGCTCCTCCCGAGGCCCTGGTCTGCCCCGCCTCAGCCTCCTGTGTGAGTGCCCTCACCGTGGTGCCCCTCGGAGCCCGGGGGTCCCCTCTTCCTCTCTCCCCAGGCTGCCCGCCACTCACCTCCGCCTGCCTTTCCCTCAGAGCTGTGTGCTCACCAGGCCTCAGTTTCCCCTTTGTACTCACCCCAGGGCCCCTCCACCCCCTCACCCTGCTCCCCACCCACCAGGGGCTTCCCACTCTCCCCAGCTGCTGACCCAACCTGCCCCCAGGCAGCTGCCTCCCTGGGGAAGAGGATTGTGTGTGCGCGTGCGTGCGTGTGCGTGTGCGTGTTCCACCGTCCAGCCCCTCACATCCTGCCCGGCTGGCCCGTGGTGGCCGCGCGGGCTCTCCTCTCTCCCACCAGCCTCTCCTCCCACTTTTTCAGCTGTTTCACGTCCTCTTTCCTGGGCAGCAAAGGCCAGCGGTCTGAAGGGCAGGGCAGCCCGGCTGCTGCACCTGGGAGGCAGCGGGGGGGACTTAGAGGTCCAGGAGACCTGGTGCCCCCGGATTGGCCGCGGCGTGGGAGATGGGCCCTGGGAGGCGGGGATGGCTGAGCAGGCTCTGTTGGCTTCCGGCGCCGCTGGGTGGGCCCCTGGACGGCTGGGATTTCCCTCTCTGGCCCCTAAGAATCTCGGCTCCAGGCCCCACATTCCAGCCGGCTCCAGCCCCCTTTCGGCTGTCACTTGACGCCTGGGCCCCAGCCCTGCAGCCCTTCGTCGTCCAGCCCCGGGCAGGGGTGAGGTGGGCATCACCGACTGGGAATTTCTCCCCGAGAGTGCGAAGAGGGGGTGCGAGTTTCTGGCTTCCTCTGCTGTCCCCAGTGGGCCCGTCTGCCCCGGTGGGCGTGGGCCTGGGGTGCGGAATGTCCTGCCAGGGTGTGAGGCGCTGCCGCTAGGCCTGCCATCCCCGGGCTGTCCTCTGAGCAGCTCGGAAGGGCCGGGCTGCCAGGTGAGGCTCCGGAGAGCCTCGGCCCCGCCCCCAGCTGGCTCCACCCGGCTGGGCTCCAGGGTCCGGATTCCCAGCGGCTGTGCGCGGGGTAGGTGCTGCGGGGCCGCCTCCCGCAGGGCCGGGGCTGTCTCTGGAGGCCCCTCGGGCGGCCGGGCGTGCCCTCGGGTCTGTGAACTGGCGCTCGCGGGGCGCTGGCTTCTCCCAAGGGCCAGCCCTTCCCGCGGGGGCTTTCGTGGCCTTGTCTGGGTGGGACTTGGTGTCTGCTTCTCGGGACTGTTGCTGGAAGCTGCCCCGGGCTGGCTGTGCGTTGACCTCAGCGTTGAGGTGCCCGGGGCGAGGTCCGCAGCGCGCCGGGGACCTCGCTGCGACCCGACGCTGTCCGGGCGGCGGGCAGGTGTGGGGGTGTGGACGGGGGCGGGGCTGACGGCGGCGCCGCGTGGGGTGGGCGCCCGCCTGACTCTCCCGGGCCTGCGGTCCTTCCTGTGCCCCCAGCCTGCTCCTGTGTGGGGTCTCGCAACCATCCTTTTGGTTGTGCCTGGTTTCGGGGTGCCGCGATCCTCTTCCTGCTCCCCACCACCCGCCTCTCCCGGCCAGGGATCGGCCCCCGGGAAGCTCGGGGAAGCCCCGGGAGCTCGGCAGCGCGCACCCCCGAGATCCTGGGGGCCGGGAGCAGTGGCCGGGAACGGCGTGGGCGGGCGGCTGGGCAGGTGACCGCTCCGGCTCCGGGCGTGTGGGAACCGCGCCCTCCTGGTGCCAGGGCG